GTGAACATCCCAGAGATATACACGTGAGTTATTTTGTTAACCCTGATGAATTTAACCTTTAAGTGCGCACTGTTGTACATCATCATCATCATCATCGTCATTTTCGTCATCATCATCATCATCATCATCATCATCACCATCATCCACTTGCCCTTATCCCGGAGTGTCGGCACAGTATATGCTGCTCTTCCATACATCTCTATCAGCCGTCATATCTAAATCCACCCCTTTCTTAAGCATGTCCTCTTTCACACAATCCATCCATACTTTCTTCGGTCTTACTCTACCTTTGTAGATCCACATTCAATCTTAACACTTTCTGGTTTATCTCCCCATCGTCTCGTCGCAAACAAAATAAACAACAAAAAAATGTGGATGCTAAATTTTAATAATACCGATTTTGTAACATATGACTTTTTGGAAAGTTTTTGATAAAAACGCATTTAAGTGTTACCACAAAGAGTATGTTAAAAGCAATATTACAAGTCTCTGTCTTCTTCATGTTCACTATCTCGTAATTCTATTTACCACTTTTTCATTGTATGTACATTAATCATCAGTATTTATTTGTTTGTATAGATTTTGTGTATTTGCTATTTTCCAGGAAGCGGATTACTTCACGGAGCGCGGCGAATATCGGATAGATTCGGAAGCCTCGAAAACTATGTTGAACTGTCTAATGTACAAATTATCATATTATAGGTGAGTACAGACTGTGTATCTACTCGTAGTTTGAAAATAATTATTTACTAAAGCCGAAAAAATTTGTGCTAAGAATTAATATTTCTATAATTTTTTTGACAAAATCTTTTATAAAACTTCTTGGATCTCTTTAATTATAATTTTCAATGTTTTGAATGAATTTAACCATATTTGCCTTGAGGTCGTAGGTTCTAGAAAGACATTTAAATGTATTATTACTATATCGTAATTAAATATCAAGGCAATTTTTTATGTAATTATGAAATGTGTGGGTAGATTCGACAGCGGCGGCAGTCCGCCGGGGTACGACCGCACGCGTGGCTCGTTGCCCGGCAACCGCGGCTTCAAGCTCACCTACCTGGAGGAAGCCTACACCTCTGAGCACTGGCTTGTCAGGATATACAGGTATCACCTCCCCCTCCCCTCTCCAACACCCACTGACTACTATAATTAGAGCCAGCCCCACCACTGGCTGATAGAGGCTCAGATAGCTTAAAAATGTCACTGTCAGATAAAGTAACAAAATCCGATATTTCCATCACATATTTTACACTTTAGATTGTTATCAGACAATTTACAATTTGGTGGGACAGGCCCTAAGACTCCTTTTCATCTAAACGACTGATATTTCTAGACATTGTTGGGATGTTTTGTAAGTCTTGAAATGATGAAAAGATGCAGATTTCTTTTTTATTTTAGCACTGATATAAAATCATAAATGAAAAAGTTTAGATGAATGGTTGTTTTTAGAGTTTGTAGCTGCTGGACGGATCTCGATGAAATATGTTTTAGATGTAGTCTGAAAGAACACAGGCTACTTTTGGTTTTTTAATTCCAGACGGTTCACGGAGAAAGCTAATATTCTATGAATATTGCTAGAATTCTACTAGGCTTTAATAATTGTTGTATATTTCAGGGTAAAGAAGCCGGACGAGTTCAACCGACCTCGTATTCCTCTTGCCAAGAGAACTATTCCTACCTCTAATGCGGTCTCTAAAAAGGTAATGTTTTAAACAAACTATTATTGCTTGCTAAATTAATATTTAACTAAAACATGGCAAATCCTTATATTAATGTGACTAATTTGCTGTTTATTTTTATTTTATAATGTACTTTATGCCGTTTCTATCTTAAGTTCGCTTGCTAACTTGCTAGGAATAAATCTACACTAAGGGCTACTTTTAACGATCAAAGAATGAATAAAACTGCAATTAGTATAAGATGTAAGTTCTGTTAATATGAGATATGGTTTTTTAATAATGATTTACATTATTTAGATTATTACTAAACTACTAAATTCAAGTAGTGTGTATGTTATTTTTTTATTAATATTCATAATAAATTTTAGAGTTTATGGTTTCTCTCTTCTATCTTCGCCTTTTCCCAGTTATTTGGGGTCGGCCTTCCTTGTCCTAAGTCTCCAGATAGCACGTATTTTAGAGGCTTGTTCGTTAAGTTTTATTTCCTTCATATCCTTTTGGATCGTCGTCTGCCAAGTGGTAGGTGGTCTTCCGCGAGTTCGCTTCGTCGTGGGCATGTTTAAGGCTAATTTGACCCTGTCATCTTTTTGGTTTCTCTAAGGTATAAAAATTTAATAATGTAGTTAATATCCATTGTAGAATTTTGAAGCAGAGTTGTATGTTTTGATTCTAATGTAGATATCAGTTTATACTATAATAAAACATTAAAAATATTAATGCACTACATAAATGGATTTAATAGAGGTGGGTAATATTAGGCAAGTTTTTTTTAGAGTTGATTATATCAAACATTTCATTGCATAATTAATATCTTTTCATTTTTAAAACCAGTAGAAGTCATAGTAATAATTTTCTATAAAATTGTACTGGTCTAAATGATTTTTGTAACTTAAGACATCGATCTGATATCTATAAGTTGGGATATTTTTTAGATGTTTGTTTTTTAGCCATTTTTTTCTTCTGTTAAACATTACAAAACATTCATACAGAAACAAAATGAGATCACTCATTGAATTAAATTATAAAGTACTATGTTACTCCCAGATTACCTTTCTGATAGTAAAAGACTTTTTAAAATCAGCCCAGTAGTTTTTGAGTTATTTCAATACATACAAAAGTACAAATCTTTCCTCTATATATTAGTATAGATATGCATGTGGTTTATTAAAATGTTGGAAAAACGGATGTAACGTAATTTTATAGTATCTTGTGGCGCAGTAGTTAAAGCAAAAATTATAGAAAGAAGTTTTTTTTTTTTAATATGATCTGAAGCAATTTTTAAAAAGTAAAATGCATTGGCTTAATATTTCTAATGCTTGTTACTCGCTTAATAATTATATTTTTCCTCTTGCAGTTTTCGTCAGGCCTAGGATCAGGGGTACAGTATAACATAGTAATAATTGTTTTGTGATGTTACCATTTGTATGCTTTTTTGTGTATTACACCATTTATGTAGAATAGAGAAAAAGTTTTTACAAAAATTATGCTAGAATAAATATTCTCATTTAGTTTAAAAAAAATTAGAAATGTAGAATAGGAATCCAAACTTAAAATAAAAAAGTATGATTAGTTTCATATTACACTAGCTTTCGGTCGCGATTCCGTCTACGTGAAATTAAAAAATAATTTAAAACAACGTAGATGGTGAAAGAATTTTTGAAAACGACCCAGTATTTTGAGTTATTTCATTATAATCAAAGTTTTCCCCTTTTATAATACTAGTATAGATTATCTTCATGTCATTTTATTAATGTAGATTTTCAAGTATGTATTATTTGTTTATATTTGTAAATACCATTCATTCATTTGTATGTTATATGTTGCGTAAATTGATGTTTACTTAAACTAAATGTTTTGTTTTATTTTTTTTAGACATCAAAACGAAGAAAAGGTCTCCTAAAGAACAAGCCGACGATAGTGAAGGGTAAGAAGGTGGGCCGGCTGGAGTGACGTCACCTGGCCACAGCCTAGTTAATGTCTGCATATCAGTGGTAAATCTGCAATTATCTTCATTTTAAAAACCGCGATGAAAACCGTTACATCTCTTAAATGCAAAGACATTTAAGAAATGTATAGACCAGGCAGAGTAAATAAATTTTTGCACCGGTAATTTCTCTGACAGGTATTATATCAGTTGTCAGGTTTAGCCAACTCCTCTCCATCTCTTACAATAAAAAATATAGATGTATTGAATACTTCCTTTCAAGAAGTTGGTAAAAAATAAACTGAACAGTGTCACAAAATGACATATATACAAATGTTTAATAAATATTATTTTTTGACACTGCAACAAATTTAAATAAAATTATATTGATTTAATGTTTGGAGGACCGATTAATAGACAGTGTTAATGGATCATGTCAAAAAATGTCTCAAGTGAAGTATCAACTATGTCTACTCTATGTGTTTTTTTAATATCTTTGCTTAAATGTAACTCTTTTCATCTTTTCTGTATATTTTGATTCATTGTAATTTATGACAAATTTGAATTACACGCTTGCCTTTTCTGTATGTAGATTTTTGATTTAAAAATCATTGTATTTCAAATGATTTTAGTGTAATGTTTGAGTTATTTTTAATGTATGAAGCACAAAATCAGTATCATATTTGACGGAATTGATATTAGATTAGTAGTTTATTTCCCAAGTCGAATTGATATCAGTACTAACCTATTTTAGATTATAGAGAAATGCAGTTTTCATTTTTTTTTGTATTTAGGACCTGTCCCACCAAATTATAAATTGCCTGATAACAATCGAAAGTGTAATATGTCATGCATATATCGGATTTTTACATTATTTAACAGTGATGTCATTTTTAAGCTATCTGAGCCTCTATCAGCCAGTGGTGGGACAGGCCCTAAGTGGGAGGAAGTGATTTCTGTCTAAACCACGATTTTTTTTTAAAATGTTAAAACCGATAATGCTAAAAGTTACATATACGAAAACGGTAAAATATTTCTAAACCGGATTTTGATATTAAGTATTCTTTATTATTTTGACTTATATTTCTTAAAGTCAATTCGTAATAGTATTTATAAATGTAACGGTGAAGCAATCTTAAAATATATCAATTAATTTATAGGTTGTGTAAAAATTTTCGTCTCTGAAGTTAGGTGCGGAATTAGAGCGAGACAAATGTACACGAAAAGAGGTCAAAGAGAGTGTATTTGTTTTGTTGCTAACTTCAAAGTCCACAAGGAAAGTGTAAACATGCTATAATGTAAATTAAAATATTGGCCGTATTCAAAAGGGATAAAGTTATATTTTAACTAATGACTTAAAAATAAAAATTATTTTGATACTATTGAGTGTTTTTCAATACATCGAGGTACAATAAACAATACGATTTTCGTAAATGTTAGTGTTTTAGGACCTGTCCTACCAAATTGTAAATTGATAACAATCCAACATGTAATTGTGATGGAAATATTGGATTTTGTTCCCTTATCTGACAGTGACGTATTTTTAAGCTATCTGAGATATCAGCCAGTGGTGGGACAGGCCCTTAATGTTGTTGGTAGTGATAGGTTAATTAATAGAAAATAGGATTTTTGCATTGTTCCTCCACTAATACTGTTAGACAATTTTTATAGTATCTAGTACTTTTGCTTAAAAAAATTCGTAGTTACTTTATAACAATTTCGATTAGAGATTGTGTTATTTCAAAAAAACTGTTTAAAAATTTTTCAATATATTTCCATTATAATATTGAAATTAAAATGTTTCTCAGTTTTGTTTAATAGCAATTATAAAATTTAAGGCTTTTGTAATATTTTTATATTAAGATTTATTGTATACTTACCACTGATTTCGGACTACCTTTATGTAGAGTCCTTTAGGTAATGTTTGTGTTAGATCGAGTCGACGCGCGTGCCTCGTGGATATCATGAATATTATTACTTTTTTTTATCTACACTTTGTTTTTTTTTTTTGTCCGCAAATAGCTTTTGTTTCTCTGCATTGACACTTGATTTTTTTATCGTCTATCTCACAATGTTTTCATTAAATGTACTTTTTCGGAATGCTTGATCCTGGCTGGAATCGAAATTTTGCGCATTCTGAAATGAGCGCCTTTTTTAGTATTATTTTGCTTGATATAGTTGAAAATGGAAGAAATTCGACGTTATGTCATTTATAAATGTAAATGATTTTGCAGATATGTATTATGAAGTGTGAATTTTTTTCTTACTTTAAAAAAATATTAAAGATTTTTTTTTTATTCTATGACTTTTATAAAACATAAACTTTTAAAATTGCGTATAAATTACATATAGATTTCCTGTTATAGTATTTTTTTTTTCAATTAATAAAAAACAATGAACTGTTCATGCTATCCAAAGGCCTAAACTTGTTTGTGAAAGTTTTTGTAAAATGCAACGTCCATTTGTATAATAATAGTTTAAATTAAGCATTATTTATCGTTACAGCGCCGTACTTGTCATTTTTTTTTCTTATAAATAGAATTTTTCTAATGAAAATCTGTTATAGGATTAAACAATTAATTTTGTCGTACTTTGACTAAATCCGTACTTACACTCCGCATGCATATTTTTGACTAAATTATTGTTATATATACATTTGTTTTACTTATAAAAATACCTAAGCCCTTTTGGTATATCAATAGAATGAATATTAAAAATGGACTCTTACGGTGAACGAGGTGATTCCGTCGTTTTTATGTGAAATTTATTTTTGTCTTAAATTTTTCCTTTTAAAATACATGAAATTGTAACCTCACATAGAGTATGTCGCATACTTAAATATTATAGAAGTGTTACAAATAAAAATAATTGACTAGTGTTGCCTGTTATTAAAAAATGCCTATGAATGGTGAAATTAATGTTGGGGAAAAAATTACTATTGAAATTACTGTTTCAACCTATTACCCAATTTACTAAAATTTTTAGTATTACCAGCATAGAAGGGTATTTCTTGGAATAAATTGTAATTTTTGTTTGTAACATTTCACGTGTAAATGAGTGTGAGAATTTCTTAATAAAAATGTTAATTTTGTTTTATTGTTGCACATCACTATTTTGTTTTTCGTGTTTGTGACAGAGATTTATCGATTTAGGTAAGATTTCATTGTGAAAAACAATGTTCAATAAACGTCTGAAAATTATTTTATCTTTAATTTGTCTTAGTATCATAGTTTCGACTACGTAAACTAAATGTAAACCATTCAAAAAAAGAATAATGTCAATGGAATGGACAATTGATTGACTAAAATTGACTAAAACTGAAAATGGACAAAGAAAAGTTTGACAGTTTAAGAATTTGAAACCGGGAAACACTTTGATTTGATTCGTTGGATTTAAAATAATAAAAGCCATTTGACAAAACTTCCACCATATATTTATTAATAAAGACAATCTAAAAGATCACGTAATAGTCATTGTCTTAAAAAATTAGTTACCCCTAATAAATTTATCAGTATATATAATAGAGTTTTATTTAATTACTTATTGTTTCAAGGATATGCGAAGTTATGAAGAGTCGCCCGGCGCAGCAGGAGGACTCGAACGTAGTCGTTGTTCTGTCTAATCATCACATCGATTTAATATAACAATGAATCTAGAATTTATACGTAAATACACTTACTCCATGAAAACTTATCCCACTGTTAAACCTAAACGCTTACTAAAATTTAATCTAATGTGTCTACGCGAAGAATTGTGCTAATCTAAAAAATGTGTCTACAAATTTTTTCATAGTTCAAAGACTGGTAATTTACAGAACATTCAAAATCACAACACAGAGTGTAATATCAAATTATCGTGCATTTGGCACGTTTTCATTTACTGTCTACATTAATATTACAAAATTTTAATAATTATAATAAGTACGGAGGCAACTCTGAACTCGATTTTGGAAAATTATTTTATCTTTGCCACAATTTCGGCACAACACGTTTAATAATACATAATCGTTATCACCGTACTTAGTATAACAAGAGTAGAACAAAATGTCTACCAAACTTACACTCTTTCATACAAAATTAGAAGAATATAATATCCATTTAGGCTTACAAAATATTAATACTATATTTTATAACAACGTGTTGACACAGATACAGAAAGGTTTTAAATTATTTACATTTGATGCCGTGTGTCGGAACTAGAGAAGAGTAGGAATTGGACAGAAGCACATCAATAAGCGAAAAATAATAGTTACTATAAGGTTCGGAGTCACTTGCTTAAAAAAACCATATTCATAACACAACTCTATGGGTCTTTTTTGTAATTCAAAATTACAGCTTACTTCGTATATCAATCTATCGTCTTTTATTACAATTGACTTGACTATGACGGATGTGTGATAAAATGTGAAATACTTATTTGTAAAAAAAACGCGTCTTCGATGTTTAAAGTGTTGGTACAAGTGTAAAGTGACCTCTAGAATAAAATAAATTAATAAGTTAAAATAATTTATCAACAACAATTGAACTAGACAGCTCCACGTCAGCGACTCTGAACTAGCAGAGTGCTATGAGCTTTATAAATGCAATTTCCAGTGCTTTTTGTTACCTGATCTCGAAAGTAACTTCTACAATCAAAAGAAAGCCGTATATTATAAAAATAAAATCGTAAGGCACTTCTATATTTAAATTGAAATAAGATTGATTGTACAATCTTCGATCTTATAAATATTTTAACTTACATAGATTTTTGTGTGATAAATTCTAATCGAATAGATTATATTTTCTAATGAAATCTAAAATGACCGTGATGTAGGTGCAGTTTGTAGTTGGCACCGAGTTATGAAAACGATTGGATAGATCGATAAGGGCATTACACAGCTATACCCTGGCTAGTATGTAATGTTGACACATGGAATGGGCGCGCGATTCTTTGATAAATCTACTTTTATATGAAAACATACATAAACATTTAGAACGCAGAACCGCGAGTTCGCATTGCTAAAACTTTCACATAGAAATATACTGTGGTTCCTATTAATATCTTTTTATGTAAATGTTTTCAGTAGTGTGTACTCGCTAAAAGATTTATTTCCGCGGAACCGATGAAGGCTAGCGATTTAGAAAGTACCTTTCAGTCTTAATAGCTAAGAGTATTGTAAAAATTATTTTTGGAGGGATTTGTCTTTAATAAATCGTAATTTAATGTCATAGATATAGACTTATCTCCGGCATTATAGTTTTTTTTTGAAAATATCTCGAGTATTTACATAATGGCACGATATTCGGCTTAATTTAGTTTACGAAAATAATTTTGTATGTTTCGAATGCCGATAGAATGCATATAGTAGTTATTTTACAAATAATAAATAATGAACACTGTTTTATACTATTTTGATTTTACTGTGTACGTTAAAATTTGTCTAAAGCGTTGTTAAGAAAGAGCGGAATATGTTAAAAATCTCTACCTCCATAGTACCAAAAGTCTACGTAATAAAACTATTTCCTTCGTTAGATTTATAACAAGATTTAAAAAATATAACTTACGAAATAATTGGCACAAATTTGTAGTTGAGTCAAAGCATATTAACATCACACAACTTGTGATTGGGGTTTGCATTAGAGCCTCCACTTAATCTAAAACAATACTTAATAATTTAAAAACATCGCCCATCTTTACCAATATGTTAATGACTATACAATTATAAAATACTTTAATAAAATTATACATTTAGTTTGGCAAAACTTTGGCAATCAGTTAAAACTTAAAATAGACAATAGTGCGTTCGTTGAAAACATTTGCCAATATTGTTAAGATAGAACACAACCAATAAATCACACAAGTTAGTGATACAATTACGTACAGTATAAGCTTTCAATTTTACCTTAAATATTAGTATCTTAAATAATTTTATTAACTCAAAATCTAAGTACATTGACTCGCATTTTGGCAGTTCACTAACAAAAGGATAGGACAAATATCTTATGGACTTGAGCTATTTCAAAACCTAATAACGAATGACTAAGAAAATGTTAATCTATTTAAGTGAACAATAAATAAATTTAAAATATAAACATGTCTTTTACGCGAATACTGCCCAAAAACTAAAAGCTAGGTATTAGGTTACGTAGAATCTCGGAAGACAGACAGAGAGTTAAGTTCACAACCACATAAATTGTTAATAGAGCAGCATACAGGGGAGAGTACCGACTACAGGCGAACAGACAAATATTAATATATTTGAGCAATTACACTTATTGCCCGATTTGTACATTCAATTAACATAGACCAGTTATACATTGAAACGATAATAGTACATATATCACAACACGTAGGTACGAGTACACATTTAAGTAATCTATATTAATCTAGTAATTTGTATGAAGTATAGTAACTTATAAGTACTCAAGATTCGACTAAACAATTGAAACACTATTAAGAAGAATCAACAATGAACTAGGTAATAAAATTATCAACATAAAATATAGAATATTTGAGCATTTCAATAATATTGTGTAAAAAAATATTATCCATCATTTTTACTATTTCTTTATAGCTTCTGTGAATTTAATGGAATCAAATGGACGATAGAATCTTAGTTTTGTATCGATTAAATAATACTAGAAGTTAGAAGTTTGTGCCAAAATTTTGTCTATATATTGTTTATAGGCTTCTATAATTTATCTACACATTCACAGAAGCTTTCTCTCATCTGTCAATATTTTTCTAAAATTGTTTATCGATATGTGACTAGTGGATGTACGGACGCTCGTTTTAATATCCGTTGCATTATCGACTAATTAACAGAACAATTTATTTATGCATCTTTGTCCAATAAGACTAGATAAGACATAATTAAAAATAACTACTAAAAAAAATAACAAGACAGTGAGCAAACAAGCAAACGCAAACAGTGAGCTGGGCTCGCAATAAACTCAAATAGTTCAATAGAAACGAGGTAGTGTAGTTGCTACACGGTAACGTATCACACTCATTCATATAGTTGTAATACTTAATTAGAACAATATATTATTTCGAATAGAACTCGCCTGCTTTACGCAGTCGATACCTATTTACAACATCACACTTGCCAAGTCACATTAAGAAGTCTGTCATATAAAAACTTTACGAAGATATCCTAACCTAACTATCTACATATTTACCATTCGTTATACAAAATATTTAATTTGCTCTTCAAGCTTAGCAACTACATACAACGATAGATGTTTTGAATCGAGGATTGTTAGTTGGGGATTACTAAACACCTCTACTAACTTTCATTTTCAAATTACAATTAATTTGTAATCATTTATTTACAAAATTAAGTACTAGTGTACAAAATAAATGCCTACCTTTGGCATTTATTTCTTAATTTCCGTTTATTTCATTTCGTCTTAGTTTCTGAGGTCAAGGTAGGGACAGACTGTAAGCGAACAAACGACCTCTGTTTTTAATTCTCAATAACACTCATGAAAAGTGTTAATTAGTTTTTAGGTTTTATTTTAAAGTTTGATGACTCAAAAGTAGATAATGATAGCAATTATTGGTAAACATTTTGTATTTGTAGTTGGTGTGAGGGCACAGAAGAGGAAATAAATCAACCAGTCTGTTACAGCTGTTTGCTTTGGTATTCAGCACCCGCGTGAGCCCTGTCGTCGGGTCTCTCAACCTTTTCATAAGGCTTTTCGAGTTTTGGCCTTTTAGGCTCAGCGTCGAATGGCCGGTGCGATTTCATGTGCGCGCTACGACTTTTTACTTTGTTAAAAACTCTGAAACATAACAGTTTACAACTATAATAACAGCAACTAAAACAAACAAATAAAAAAGCAAAACAAAACAAAACGAACACTCTGCTCAAGCAAAGCAAAAAGCATCGACATTGAAAATCTACAGGTTACATTTGTAATTTATGTACACATAATTATAATGAAAGATTTATCCATAAATAAATAATGATCTTTTGTATAATTTAAATACATTGTAAATAATCGAAGGACAATCGGTTTTTTAATATGCTTTAAGAATACTTTTATCTCTTTAACTTCTCGATGATGTTTTGACGGATAGTGTATCGGTATACATATCTGAACGCTAAGAGTCATCACAAAATAACATGCAACATTAATAAAATGGTGCCTAAAACATGATTCAAGAAATGTTATAAATACTCGTACATATTATTCACTTTGAAATTTCATTGTTGTAGTATAGGAAGAATATTTACTTGCAGTTTTCATTGGACATGATATAGTTTACGTAAAACATTTTTTTTAAATACATTTGCTGTTTTGCTAGGTTTATAAGCTAATGGCATGGCTTTTTCGTGCGGTTGGCACTTACTTCCCGCATATTTTGCAAGGATATTCTTCTCCGTCATACGATGTAGGCGAAGAACAGGAGGCGGACCGTTGTAACGCTATCTGCCCTACCGAACCCTAAACATGAAGAAGTCGTGCGTGTTAGAACTTGGTCACTCAGTCTTCACTGATGAAGACGTAGTGAGATAGTTCAGTGAAGGCGGAGCTTACTTGTGTCGCGGGCAGCGGTTCGTTTACCCAGCCTCGTAGAAAATGATTTTTGTAGTCTTTCGTTACTTTCTTCCAGAAATAGTAGAACTGGACGCATTGTTTCGAGTCTTTTGTTTTTATCTAAGGGATAAGTTTAATAATTAGAACTACTACTGTAAAGTATAAAAGATTTTCAACGTGTTTTAAAAGAAAAAAATACTTACTAGTTGTGAAATTCTATAAAAGTCCTTATCGTAGTGTCCAAGGCCGGCCAGGAAAGCTTCAACTTCGTCAGGGGTCCACCGGCATTCGTGTTGTGACGGGGCCGCGGGCCGCGTCATCAGGCGTAATGTGGCAGTTCTGATGTCCCCTCCACATTCCCCTAGAGTCTGTAGAGCGTATTCCCGGGTGTGTCCACCAACTGGCATCGCAGCGCACATCGCTAACTCCATGAACATGCGAACTGAAATAAAAAGAGGGCACTTAATGTTGGTTAATGAACGAAAAAGGGTTTTTATTGAAAAGTTTTGATGGTTGCGGGGTAGTTTAAGTTAAGGAAACTCGTATAAGGATCGTCCGTAATAGTAGAACAAATTTCCATCTATTGTTACAATGTGTCAATAACTTTTGAAAGTTACCTTCGTTATCATCAAGAGCATCGTTAATGCCTGGATCCCAAAGCAGTTGTTCAGGTGCTCTGTGCAGGTCTATACGGTCGTTGCAAAGTTCGGGTATGTTCGCTTGATGGTCAACTCCGATATTGATTTTGGGTAAAGGAGGCTCTTCCATTTGTGCCATTTCATTATTGTCGGATGTTGATGACCCTGAAATTTAACAGTTTTAAATTTAGTATCAACATTACCATTATCATTAACTAACTTATCGAATAAATATCGTTTTACTCATTCAGCATACGTTGTGTTTATGTGTTTTCTTTTGTTTTTTAAAAAGTAATCAGATAAATTTTCTCGAATGGCCTTTAAACTTACCATTTGACTGGTTAATAAGAAGTCCTGAGCCAACTCTATCTGGTGGCAGTATAGGTTGCGGTGTATAATGGCTGCTGGAGCGTCGCATGCGAGTTTTGTATGGACCGGCCGGCGAAGCTCGTCGCTTGCGTTGTTGAGGCGACGCAGGCACGCTGTTGGGACTCAAAAATACTGCCTGAACTAGATCCCGTCCTTCTACGCAGACCTGGAAAAGTGGAAAATATTTAAATTTTTAAACGTATTTTTAAATACTTGACTTCGGGTAGCCATCCCGAAGCCTGCGTCTTGGACGACAAAAGTACATATTGTTCGTTTCCTAACAATACACCTACCTGTAACGAAGAGTCGTTTTGCCATTGGTGAATAGGCATAGACAAGGAAGTTAATCGTTGACGACGAAAGTGCCGTTGGTGAGAAAAGTCACGAGGACTACTCGATAGCAGCGGATCTTCTGAGTTAAGCATGATACGACGTGGCGTAGGTGTTGGTTCCAAAGAATAAGCGTCTAAAGATCTGCATTCTTCTGGTAATACTACTTCTAAAGCTTCTTCCACCTGAAATACATTATATTTAATATTTTGCCCATTTTAAAATCAGACGTAATTTTTGAAGGTAATTATTTTTTACCTCTTCTTGACTTGACATCGTCGCCGTAAAGAATGCTGCTGATAAAGGTGATGAAGCACGTGGAATAGTGTGTGCAGGTGAATAAGCATCGTGAGATGCCGGAGGAGTTGGATACGCAAGACCCGGTGACGGTTGAGTTTGGTTTGAATAACTTCCACTGGGTGATGTTACATTATAAGTAGTTCCTGGGGAATCATTAGTCGAATATGAAAGGCACGGTGAACTGTCCGCGTAACCGATACCGGGCGATGCTGCAGGTGAGCCACCGTGACTAGCGCCAAAGTCCGCCAAAGATTCAGGAAGCGGTGAGTTTAGTACGGCTGCAAGTCGTCGACTCGATGGGAAAGTGACGGGTGATCGTTCTCGTATGGACGCAGCTACAGTTGCGTAGTCTTCCAATGACGCGAATTCCTCCAATTGTTCAGGTGTTGTTGTAAATTGAAAAGTGTCTTCGCCGTTTAATGCTGGTGAATAATAGCCGTCATCGGAATTAAAAGATACACCTAACAATTCTGGGCGAAAGGAGAAATCTTGATGTGGCGAAGATTGTCCAGGATCGGAGGTAGATCTTTTTACAACCTGGAAGTCAAAATATTTGTTTTTTTTTTTCACTACGTATTTTACATGTCTTACAAGACGTTAAGTTAAGAATGTTCTTTTCCACCAACCTTTGTGTTTTCTTTTTTTAGCAGTTCAATCAGTGTGGAATCCCTAATGGCCGGATTATTAGATGTGATATTCGTAGCTAACGTTACGACGGAAGGTGCTCGTGGTGATACAAACTGCGTGGTCACTATAGAAGAAGCCGTCGAAGTCCCTGATGATCGGATTGTTGACAAGGGCGGAGGTGCTGGAGCTACAAAAGCTCGTGACGATGTTGCGTCAGTGCTTGTACCTGTTATTAGAAAAATCACTTGATAAGTTATCCCGCAGCTTAGTAGGTTTTAAGTTATGAAGATTATATAAATTCATTACCTGTAGATGTTGATTGAGCATTGGCTCCTCGACGGCTGATAATTTTTTCTTCTATTAGAGCTCGGACTGACACTGAAGCTGTTTGTAGCGGTGGTCCAGAGGATTCTTTCTTGTCCATTTTCTTATTATCAGAGTCCTAAATAAGTATAGATTTTGAAATATCAACAAAACCGTTCTTAAATTTAATCTAAACATGTATATGACTTACTTTTTTAAAATATCCACCATGCAAGCGCATGTGACCGTTTAGCGCAGGTATGTTTTTAAATTTACGATGACACAGGTTACATTCGACTGGCTTGGTATCGCTGGGTCGGGGTATCGTACCCGGCCCGCTGCCCGCTCCGCTCGTGCTCCCGCTCGTATTCGCGACGTTCCCGTATTTTTGGCTTCCCTGCTGCGTCTGTGAAATTAACGATGACTTTACAAAACTTCAAAAGACTTCCAAAACCTATTACGTACTTTGTAATTTCAAGGTATAAACTTTCGATCTTCAGCAGCTCTTTAATATTCCAAGTTAATTAATGGATTTTAATGGATTCTGCGTAATCTACTAGTAGGTCGGTGGAAAAGGAAAATCCTAATTACAGGTCAATAGTAAATAACATTTTGTGACATAATACTCGTATAAATACATTTACATTAAATTAGATTAATTTTTTCCCTAAAAAGTATTCTTCACTGGACCTGAGAAGTGATAGGATATAGAAGCCGTATATAAAAAACACATGGCTAAATTCAAAATCAGACGACAACTTTGTCTATTCCTTTTATAAAATAGTCGTTTCAATTTAAATAAAAACTAACGTCAATTTACATTTTTCCATAGTGCCCGAGCACTGCATTTATTCATTTACGTAGAATTTTAATTAGTAGCGGATTTCCCACAGCGAAGCTACATGACTTCCCGACATTAAGAGACGAAATTTATTTCATTTTGCATGCCCGTTGTATTTAAAAAATACTTTTTGTATAATTTTGAGGTTAAAGCAGTTCCTTTTATGTAATAAGTATTAAGTAAATACACTTAAAATAACAGGTTTACTAAATATTTTAACAAGATCGCTTATTCTAGTTTACTTGTCCCTTTAATAGAAGAATTAAATAATAGATTTTTACATTGTGACCTAAATCGGCGTTGGTGAGTAAATCTCGTGAGCGCTACGGCGTAGCGCGTCCGTAATTTATTTGATTCGAGTTTTTTTCGTAGCAGCCCTAGCTAGCGCCATTAGGCCAGCTCGTTAGGTTAATGTGGTAGGTGCGAGCAGATGTTCGCGAACGGAGCGTTTTTGTCGTATATCATTCTTGTAGTGTAGTTAACTTGCAGCGGTTTTTAGTACGAATTATTTACACGCTACAACTGTATGAGAGTAAAGTCGTTTGTTACGGTCGCTTAATGATCTTAGAATTAGTCATTACAAATGTATGTTATAATAATTTTGTTTTTAAAAAAGCCAGTAAAACGAAGGATAACCATGAAAGTTGAATTAAGGACACTACTTTCATATCTATATCTATCTATACATATAATAAAATTGGAGTATATGTAATATCAAAAGAAAAATTCCAGATTTCGGGAAGATGATGCGTTGCTGATAACGAAAATCGCATTTAATATTTTTTGTCTGTCTGTCCGCAAGCCGCGTTTGTTCCGGGTAATCTCCGAAACGGCTGGGCTGATTTAGACCAGACTTTCATTGAAGGGTAGCTGACATAGACGGGCATGTTATAGGCTACTTTTTATCTTAATGTTGCGTGGACGAAGTGGCGGGCAATAGCTACTTGAAAATAAATAACAAGCAAAAAAAACGTAAATTAAAAACTCACCTTAGGCTTAGTAAAAGTATGTGGATGGAATAGCTGAGTTATCCAATTGTCCATTATCAAACTTACACTAATAACAGACGAAAACAACGAAAAAAAAAACTATAATGACGTCACTATCGGTCCAGCGCGTGTGATGTTCGTCTCACGGTATTCGAACATGAAATGATAGCACAATGGATGGGAAAGATATCGAAGAGATGACCCCTCGTTGATATATTTCTGACCTCGCGAATTACGAGATAGAATGACCAGTAAAATAACAAAGGCGCGCTATCCCGGCTTATTTGCATAAATGTTCTCGTTACTATAGATTGTGTTCAACGCAATATCGACTTTGTAGATGTTAACGTTGTTAATATAATGAAATTATATTCTATGTCAGATAAACATTATCCTGGCTTACTCGTACGAGGCAAGAATGGTGTGAAAGTTGGCCGACATTTGTTTAGGAAAAAAATTAGATGTTTTTTTTTGTAATAAAAAAGGGAAACGAGTGGCGAGAACTCCGACTTGGTCAACGACGCATATGGACATCCGCAATATCAGAGTAACTACAGATGCGTTACCGGCCTTTGAGGAAATGATGTGCTCGCTTCTTGAAGGACCCTAAGTCGTATTGGTTTGGAAATACGAGGACAGACCGTTCCACAACGCGGCTGTAGACTGATGTTTGTAAACTTATGGGGCGAAATTGTTCTCATTTAATTATAAATAAAAACAATCTATCCCATTTTATAATCTTAAATAAAAGGACATTTGAAAAAAGTGGTAATAATAATTTCAATTAGAATACTAGTTAGTTATGTTTTTAAAATGTATTTAGTCCTGTGGTAAAATGTACATGTGCCATGTCTTTTCCTAAGATTTAATCTATCGTTGCTACACAGACAAGAGATGAGCGAACTTTCTATTAGCTGTGGTAACAACTATTAATTAGATAAACTTTTGATATGAGCTAATACATAATAACATAAGGTCACACACACATAGGCACAGACACCCACACAGACACACTTGTACTCTTTTTAGTTAAATATCATTTCTTTTCTTTTTAAACCTATTTCGTCTCCGTCTGGATGGCTTTTATATGTATATAAATAAAATAAAATCAAAACATTTTAAAATATGTACTAAGTACCTTTCGCACGCGACTCCGTCCGTGAAGAGTTGTAGAAAAAAACAAAAGTAAGTAGCATATGTGTACTTCCAGAATATTCTCTACATCTATACCAAATTTTATCAAGACCCGTTCAACAGTTTAGGCTACAAACCCTAACAAACATCCATCCATCCATACATACATCTAAACTTTCGCATTTATAATATAAGAAGGTAAGATAAATACATAATTTATGTGTAAAAAAATACCCATTTCTTTGTTATTACGATTTCATTTGCATTGATCATATTTTCAAAACCTAACTACTTTTATGGCAGCTAACCTGTGTAGATAGTGTTATTTAATAAGTAAAATAAAAACGGTAATGGTTAACTTCATAAACGTACAAATATTTAATTCCGTCACACAAGTAGTAATAAAGCAAATTTATATCGCACTGAAGTACTTAAACGGTAAAAGCGCACTTCACTTAAAGTTTAATCGTACAAGATCTAACTTAATAACAAATTGCAAACATTTGAACAATGGCGCAGGAGCACATTAAGAATGCTACATTACAACCGGGTGGTTACTTCCCTTGTTTAGAATAGAAATTCTTTTTTTTTACAGTGCAAAACCTCTTTGGCTGACAAGATATGTGAATACAGCCATAGAGGTTGCGTACTGGCCACCGAGACATTTACGTAGTTTGTTAGAGAATAAACAAGAGAAGGAAAGGAAGCGTAGAATAGACGAGATATAATTGATATAGTTTTCAGACTTACTAATCTTACTAATATTATAAATGCGAAAGTTTAGATGGATGGATGGATGGACGGATAGTTGAATGGATGGATGTTTGTTAGAATTTGTAACCTAAACGAATGAATCGCGATGAAATTTGGCTTAGACGTAGATTATAGTCCGGAAGAACACATACACTACTAACTTATATATTTTTTTAATTCCACGCGGACGGAGTCACGGGCCAAAGCTAGTATAAAATAAAGTTGTTTTGATGTAAAGGTTTTTTGTATTTTTGGCTGCCGCGCTTTCGGTAACAAGTAAAACAGTAGCAATATCTTATAATTGCTTATTCCTGTAACACAATAAATTCTTATTAGTACAACTTATAAGAGGCAATCTAATTGCAAAAGATAGTAAATAAGGGGCCATTTATTTAAATTAGTTCTGAGCAATGTGTGCCCCATTTCTCACGGTTATATTTCGAAGTGTGGCGTTCATAATTTTATTCGGGCTTTGTCGTGTGTGTTGCCATAATAAGGAGAGTTCTACGTCAGTAGTAGGGGACACGTGGCTCGACCCACGAGGTCAGAGGTCACCGTGTCACGTAAGAGCATCAGCTTTTCTAATACTCTTTTGTTAAAGATTTAATATTTAAGTGCTTTATTATTGTTACTAAGATTTATAAAATTTTAATGAGGGTTGAATAAATTTTTATTTTTATTTTACTTACTATTGTTTTAATTTGTTTGAACTCGGCACAAATTCGACTCCATGTAAATTTATACAAATTAATAGGTTGACAATAATACCTAAATGACCACTTATATTTAAGTATACAGCAACACAACACTGCTCTACAAAAACGGCTAAGAAATATTTCATGCACTTAGCAGCTGTACACAATAACTTTTAACGTAAAACAAGAATTTCTTTAGGAAGACAGCGTGAAGAGAAATCGGAATACATGTATGCCACGTTCGCTCATCTATCACACTTAACCTACGGGAAGATGATGCCGTAGATTTAGGGGGAGTCCCGTGCGCCTAGGGCTGTCAATCTATAAACGTAGACTCAAATAGTGATGAACAAAAACGACGACATGATATTATGTCAATAGTTAACTCCGGCGAAAAAAATAAACACGGTTTTATTCTCAGCAAATAATACAAAAAATACCATACCCAGGCCTCTTTTCGGTGATACTTTCACACAATTTACTCTAAACTGACATCACCAATAACACGTTGTGCAAAATTAGGTACAAACCCAATGAAGTCGGTTTAAACTTGTGGCAGCCCTACATGTGCCCTCAATTATGCATCGGGACGCTTATCGCCGAGACTGAACGCACCTGCGTCCTTGTCACACTACATTATTAATGGAATTGCGAGGCCAAGGGCGTCTTACGATGTACAATCAATTTCCTACATGTGTGGATATGCCCTAATTTTTTAAGTCGTCTAAACGTCGTTTGTCCGATGGGATTAAAAATAAATGTCAACAGTTTGACTGAGGAGAAATGAAATTAAATTGTGGACAAGTTCTTAAAAACAATAATAATATATTCGAACATTACTTTGAAGTGAACCAACGATGGTAAGGTATAGTTTAAATTTTTTGTTATGATTTAGGACTTGCGCTGTTTTATTTATAGCCAGTAAATATCTATGTCTAGATTATATAGGCTATATTTTATTTATTCCGCTTCATATTCTGTCAGTTTAATATTCAATAGATAAAATATTAAGAGGCCGTTGCTACGTACAATATGCGGGCGTGATTTTATTTTTTCCGCCTCGAAGATGAAGACGGAGAGTTTGACTTATTTCCTCGTTGCGACGTTGCGGAGAAATTCGGAGACGTCTATGTAATATTCACCGCTTCACTGACAGTTTGATGGAATTGAGTTAAGAGTTCGTATGAGGGTATCCCACCTGCTAACAACGGATCACAATTTTTCTGGATATTCTGACGTTTAAGTTAACATACTTTGTACTATTTCTATCCGCTGAAGATATACAAATGTTTACGTAAAGTCAAATAATTTTATAAAACACAATATATCTTGTACACTTTATCTGAGCACACAACAGAAGCTTTATTCTTTCCTATTCTATGGTTACATTACAATTGCTACCAAACATTCAATATATATTATATTATATGTATATTATAAATGCGAAAGTTTAGATGGATGTGTGGATGGATGGATGGGTGGATGGAAGGTTGGATGGATGTTTGTTAGAGTTTGTAGCCTTAACGACTGAACGGATTTCGATGAAATTTGGCATCGAGGTAGAGGATAACCTAGAAAAGCACATACGCTATTCACTTTTGTTTTTTCTTTAATTCCACGAGGACGAAGTCGCGGGCGAAAGCGAATTTAATAATAATTATGAATCTTGTACAATATTCTCGAATAAAGTACATAGCTCCATATTCTAAGAAATACAATTGGTATGTTTGATAAATAAAAATCCTATGAGAATATTATCTGTAAAAAAAGGATGTCACAGATGTAAGTAGTAGAAACATTTACGAAATAACGTCACCCAATGAAAATGTTTGATATGTCTGCGTAAACACACATTGTGTTCCTAACCCCGCGTACATCTCCCCTCACACACACCCCGTACGCCTCCGGTGAGGGGTATATAACACACATTTGTCGGAAATAAGATACCCACTTAGTTTAATAAAATGGCTTCATGTTATATGAGTTTTTGTACAAATTTATTTGATGTTAAAATAAATTAATTCTACGTTTAGAAGTCAATATTATTTATAACATTTATAAAAGTGATGCTACAATTTTATTAAAAAGTTTTAAGACTAGAAACAGTAAAAATTGTCCTATTAGTCGGATGGTTAGTGCATGCATGCATATTATAAATGCGAAAGATTAGATGGATGGATGTTTGTTAGAGATTAAATTTTGCATAGATGTAGAGGATAGTCTGAAAGAACCCATAGGCTACTCACTTTTGTTTTTTTAATTCCACGCGAGTCGTGGGCGAAAGCTTGTGACATTATAAGCGAGCGGGTCTGTACAAAGAACGACTCTCTGCGGTTACATAATCAAACAACCTTATTCGTTTAAGATTGAACGTACCTACTACAAGATATTTTAAACATTATAAATTTTACTATATAACAAATTTTCTTTGCATTAAAATTCGTATGTAACAAGAAGCAGAACTTTTTATAAAGTTTTTTTTCTATGGGTGTTCACAGCTAGTAATAATATTTACAATAAGGATTACTTATATTCTCTTAATAAATTATTGTGTAATTTGGAAACATTACCGGTTGCAACTAAATATTTCGGCGCTTTCATACTTCATATTATTCAAATTTGATCCGCTTTTCAACGATGCTTAATATCGAATACATCGAAATTGAACTCTAAATCAAATACGATAAGAACGAAATTGTAAAATCTAAAACATGCGAATGTAATTATGTCGTAATTATGTTCGCAAATATGCCGTATCCCGAGGCCGTAATGAAGTGGCACAAAAGCGGATTTATTGCGTTCAAAGGCATTCCGCTGTCAATATGTTGTGAACAAAACTGCGCCGCGCCCGTTTGTAATTATGTGCCCCGTGTTTGTGTCGGCCTTTATTGCTTCCTGCAGGTGACGTCAAATCACGGGACCCGATCAAAGTGAGTGCTTTTAATAAAGCGAGCCACGCCACCCACCTGCCTACGTTAGGATGAGCCCTTAACGTCTATAGCGCATCGACCAATCCAACGTAAACTCTTTGCTTCGATTGACGCGCGAGGGTTCACGTTACATTGGACAACCCATCAATAGTCTGGCTGTGATATTATTATTAATATTGCATTTCCGATTCATTCATGCGGCTGCAAATACCACCTTTGTATTGACAGATTTAATTGCAATGCGCCTCAATTTGCTTATTACAAATGTTGAATTTACACACCAAGAGGTATTTTCAACGTATAAGGAAAAAGCTTATCATTAGTTAGTTACTTGAAGTTCAATGAATGCTTACGGTCATAATTAAGTTCCGAAATGCTTTCTAACTATATGTTCTCTTTAAAATATCATTCTCAGATTAGATTCGAAACAGATTAGAAAAAAAATAAGACAAGATGTACTAATAAATAGTTCGAGTTACCAAACAACTACAAAATTCTCACATAATTAATGAATTCCAAACTGACCCCTCGATCAAATGAGAATTCTCGACCTGTGTGAATAATTCTAGTTTGATTGGCGCAAATTTAATAGAGTCCCTTCAATTTTTGTATCTACGCCGACAGGTGGAGATGCAGAGAGGGGCCCAATATGTCGACCGAGTTTCGCAACCCTTGGTCGAACAGAGAAATTCATAGAGCCGTAATCTGGTGTTAAATATTTTTTTCTTTATCATGTAATTTTTTTTTATTACATTTTATTTTAAACTAGCTTTCGATCGCCAATTAGTCTACGTAGTATTAAAAAAACAAAAGTAAGTAGCCTATATTCTTCCAGACTATGCTCTACATCTGTGCCAAATTTCATCGACATCCGTTTAGCCGTTTAGGCCATCTACACTTTCACATTTATAATACTAAGTAAGATTTACAATAAATTTAATTTCTAAGTATTGATTTCTTATTCGAAACGTTGTCGCGTGAAAATATTATAAGATTTAAAAAATTTATAATAAACTAGATTATACTATACATTTTACGTAAACTACATAATAATAACCCTTTCAAAACTTTTAAAGATAATTCTAACAAGCATATAGTCTAGAATGAATTGTCTAAAAATCTATTTAGTTGCTACTGTCAGTTTTATAAACAAATTTGTTACGGGGGTTGCACCGTGGCCGTGTTTGAATTATTAAAAAATAACAATAGTTGAATAGGTTCACTTCGCTGTTCGTTTCGCACTGGAATCCGCGATGTATCGACATTAGCATAAGAATTCGCATCTACCCTCATTCCCACGGCGTACTTTCATGTGAGTGAGCGCTAAGAATTATTAGATCTTATTGCATTATATCAGATAGTAATAAAACTATTCTTAGAGGATTCTTTTGAATCTCAACGGATTTAGCCACACGAATTCAATACGTTTTTTATTGGTTGAATGTGTAAGGGTCAGTTGTTTATGTTTAATGTATAATAAATAAATGTTTATACTAATACAAATAACATTATAAATGCGTAATATTAGATGGATAGATAGATGGATGTTTGTTAGAGTTTGTAGCCTAACCGGCTGAACTGATATCAATGTAATTTGGCATAGACGATAGACAGAAAGAATACACAAACTTTGTTTCTTAATTAAAAAAAAAATGAAGACTAGTAATAAATAATCATATAATGTTTTAAATAAATAGGCATCTCTTTGAAAAATGTTCCACTTGACAGTATTTTTTCTTACAGGAAGTAAATACTTGTAAGAAAAATGATAAGCGATTTACAAACTTTTTTCCAAATACACTTATGAGTATTTAATGCGTAAAGTCAAACGAATTCGAAGTTTATTTGAAAAAATATATTTCTCCATCTGCTATGTGATTTGTGAGCTCTTGATTTTTGTTACTCCTTTTACCACAATTTTATGAGCTTCAACGCGAGGCTGCTTTATTAGATGTTGGGTGTAACGACGCAGTCAGCTGGAAATTTTTCGTATCGTAGATTTTGTAGGGCACGCGAAAATAAATATTGAAAATATCATTCTTTAAAACGAGGGTAGGCAGACACAGTAACAATAATTACTATTCGTTTATCCTATTTCATATATACATATATCAAAGAAAATAAATATTTTTTTCGTAGACCTTAGATTATATACTTAGCAAAAAATCGTAACGTTACGCAAGTCCCGCCTACGTTCGCTACAGTATCTAGGCTGGCGTAGCACTTTCGTAACATTTTAAAATTAATCCCACGAGTACACTATTTCAAACATGTAACATTAAAATATTACCTTAAAAGAACTACGATACGAATCGAGCTTTTAGAATTAACTTTAAAAGAGATGTGATTTTAAACGAATTTATTTTATATGAAATAAATTTATTTACACTTTTTAAAAGATTTTCTTTTCAAATTCGTTTAAGCCTTTTATGTTATACGTTTATAATTAAATTTTACTATAATTAAACAATGTTTCGTGGCTCTTTGAAAATTTACTGTTTGGACTTAGGAGTTAATATATAAACAGATACAATAGTTCATTTTCTTAACCATTAAAATGTTTTTACGAAAAGTGTCCAAGCAGTTTTTTTTAAATTCTGTAGGAATTTTAATTAAAAACTTTCTTAACTAAAATAACTAAAATGTCTGTTGATTGTTTGCTTTTTTATTAAGAGCGTGTAAACACAACTGTACTTACATTGTTGCAACTCTTAGGTTTAGTGCCACTGGTCTTCTTGGTGTGTTTGGAAGGGGGTGTAGTGGGCGCGGGCGGCGTACCGGGCGGGCTACTGTCGCTACCGCCCCCGCTCCCGCTCCCGCCGCCGCTCGTGCTCGTACCACTCTTCTCCGAGCCGTTGCTTAACTGTGCGGACAAAATGGCGCGAGCCACTTGAGTGTTTTATGTTTCAGAGTTTCGCTTTTAATTACCCAAGTTTATCCACCAGATAAATGCTTAAGAAAATCTTTCTTTGAGAGACTTTTTTTTGAGTTTGCTCTAATTACGTTCGGGACGGGCGCAGTTTTGTTGTCTTAATGATTTTTATTTAATTTACATGTAAAGTATAATTTAATAAAGAATTATGTGTACTAAAGACAGTCGATTATAAAGACGTTTACAAAACGCTGAAAGTTGTGTATAAATGTACTTGTAATGAACACGATTAAATGCAGAAGTTGTTAACGTTTAAAAATCGTCGTGTCCCTCATTAAAAGTCGCTCGTAACATCACCGCTCGATGTCTGAACATTGTTTGCGAAATGAATCGGGGTAAAACACGACCATCATTATATCCAACTTTTTTGTACGTCCGAACCTTAATGGCGTCACAGAATGAAAAGCGCGCGCGGATTCGGGCTAATTGCTTAATTAATAAGGTCGCCGGGTTGTGAATTTTACACACGGTCAGTTGGAAGTGAGCCAAGAGTACTTGTAATAAAAATGCCAGTTAAAAACTCCGACTCGTGACAGCGAATAGGAATTTATTTGGAAATTTTACGACGTGAACTTTACGGAGTTTGCCTTTTATACCCACAAGAGGATTTTATGCCCACTTAATCATAAGTGATGGGACTTAATTTTTTCTTATACATAAAATGTATGATGTCATCCTCCAATAATTGAATTATAAAACCTATAATTGAAACTAGCATTTGACTTTATTTCTGTCTAATTGCATCAACTTACATCGGAGTGTAACGGGTTACTGCGCGATGGGGACGAAGGCGAGGCGACTCGAAGCGAATTCGTGTCGCGTTCACCGCTGCCCGGAGGCACGTTGCTGTTGTTGCTTGCACCTGAAACAAAGTATTTTTATTTCCATTATGCATTAAATTCACATAATGTGTGCAATTATTAAGTCCGTACTCATAAACTTTATTAAAATAACATGGGTGTTTTTATAATATTTCAATATGATTTTATAGATTTTTTAATCTCAGAGTTGATTTTTAAAAGCACTTTATTCGAATATTATTATTAATATCGTGCTTTCGTGTATCAAGTGTAGTGTAGTGGTAAAATAGAAGCGCTGTGTGCCGCTGCCATAATTACTACAGCTAGTTAACGATGTCAACTGTGACGCCTCACCTCTCTACAAAACTTAGCGACGCGACGCAACCTAATTTATGCGGGTATGCGGGTGTCATGACAAATTTGCATGAGTTTTAAATTATTAATTTCGTATATTATCAAAATAGTTTTAACAAAATTGTATAATACTAATTTTTACCGAAATATTGTATAATCATTTTTGATAATCAAAATTAGGATTTTAATGTAAATGGTGTTGCTTAAAGAGTCCTACGCTAAGGGACCTTTAATAATACTGGAGCCTAGATTGGGTTTCTATATGTAAATAGACGTAAGTACAAGATAGTCAATAATAGCGAACGAAAATAGCAGAAACTTTTTTTAAGGTAGCACTTGATCACGATTCCACCTAATGAGAGTGATGTTCATTTTGAGTTCAGAATGAAGCGAACCCAAAACCGTTAATACTTTATTTCGTAGCTTTAAATTATAACACGTAAGGTTGAGACTGATTTGCATTGTTTATTTCTACACAATTGTAAAAACCTATGGTAGTTACCTGTGTCAGTAGGCGGCTGGTGATGGTTCTCCGTGTGTCGGCGAAGGGAGCGCGCGTCGCAGTACGACTTGCCGCATCCCTCCGCTTTACACTCGTACGGCTTCTTGTTGCGGTGCGTCAGCATGTGACCGTTACTGATAACATAAAAATTAAATGTCTATTCAAGATTTAAACATTATTTACCAACACAGTAATCCTACAATATATTGCAGTTAACTTGTCGTTCTCTTAACTTAATCTAATATGAAAAGAATTAAGCAGAATGCGACAAACGTCTCTTTGAAATTCACTATAAATTTACATACTAAGCATGCTTGTTGATTGTGGGTGTTGTCAATAAAGTCCACAGTAATATCATAGTTTGTGAAATAAAACCTAGCTAATTTGGAGTACGTTATAAGTAAATACTTATTCCATATCATTATAATCTTAATACTTTTTCCCATTAGGGTTAGTCTTCTCTCCTATCCCAGTATTCTTTATTTATTCAATTAATAGTAAAACAAATCTTATCATTAACCAAAATATAATCTGTGATTATAGACTACGAAGTGGCGCCCAAAGCGGGTCACGGGATCAACAGAATTGTACCGCGTTCAGTTAACGCCTGAGCATTATGAACACAATGGTTGCATTAATATTCATGCGCGGGCTTGCCGCAGGATTAAAGGGCAAGCCAGCGCCGCGCACTACATGTGTTCCAGCCGAATATAACTACGTGTAAACTGAACACCTTTGTTATTATTCTGATACCTAAAGCATTTATTTTGAACTAAGAATTGTAATCTACACCTATCTTGTTGAAAATGGTGAATAGAATAATTTACTTAAGACCTCAGTATACTTGGCTACTGCAAATAAAATTCCGATGACTTATGGAACTATATTAATTAATACTCATAAACCAATCTATCTATACTAATATAAAAAGCGTAAGCACACACTTTTTGGCGTACGATGTCAGCAATCACAGTATATTTTCGAATAACTCTTTAATAAAAGGTCCTACAATTACGATGCGCTTTTGGTTACATATTTTCACGACTTTAAACTTAGAGGGTAAATAAATTGAAAAAAAAAACCATGTGGGAAGGGAACCATAAACTACAAGCTACCAACATTAAGGAAACAAGGTTTTTATGGTAATGGTAATTTTGACATTTGCTATTGAGAATTTGACAAATGTAAACAATAAAATGAAGTTTTTATAATTTTATGTGGATGAAGCCGTAAGAGAACAGATAGTGTTTAAGTAAAATACGTATTTATGTTCTTGAGGTTAAATGGAAGCAAAATTGAAAATTAATTTCTCATGGTCATGTTCAAAATAACCTTTGTATAATAAAGATTAATGTTACAATAGTTTTGTATTAAACAAAAACAGTATCTCCGCGCCGCATAGTCTGCCGGCAGCTGTATTCTAGGAATATGTAGGTGACTCCCTGTTTTTCGTCCGCTAAGGTTTTTGTTGTTGTTAACTTTGGGAACATCAGACAAACGTTTTTATAGCTGCAATGATAAATGTAGTCGTGTCGCACAATAAATTTTTTGTATACCTCCGTGAGTTACGAAGTCTGGATTTTAGCCTGGTTCTATTACTAAACAATGTTTTCGCAAAATGTCTAAAGACTAGAAAGATCCTGACACAATTTTACAAAAGATAATTCAAACATAGTAACTATAAAATACAATTTATATTAAAGTTAACACTTTTACGATTAACTACTAAATAATATTCCAGAAAAAAATTACCGCCTAACCTTCTCTTTATAAACCACACCATGTAACTTCTATAGAGTGCTAAACGATTGTTATTATTAGATTATTTACAATGTTTTTGGTTATGTACCACTATGTTTTTTAACATATTAAGATTTACTTACAGATGATCTTGTCGCTTGAAGGCCTTCGCACACGTAATACAGACGTACTTGCGCTCGTCGCTGTGCGTTAGCTTGTGCTTCGCTAGCGCTGACGCGTTGCCGAACACCTTGTTGCACACCTGATAAAGAGGAAAGATTTGTATTTTTGTTTGTAATGAAATAACTCAAAAACTACTGTTCCGATTTTAAAAATTCTTTCACTGTTAGAAAGGTAATTTATCTGTGAGTACAAAGGCTATATTTTTTTAATTTCACGCGGGCGAAGTCGCGAGCCACAGCTAGTATTATATATGCGAAAGATTGGATGGATGGATGGATGTTTGTTAGAGTTTGTAGCCTAAGCCGCTGAATGGATCTCAATGAAATTTGACATAGATATAGAGTACAGTTTTGAAGAACACATAGGCTACTTAGTTTTTTTTAATTCCACATGGACGATGTCGCGGGTGAAAGCTATAATATTATAAAGAGGAAAGATTTGCATTTTTGTATGTATACATAACTCAAAAACTTGACCGATTTAAAAAATCATTCACTGTTAAAAAACTACGTTATCAGTGAGTGAAATAGGCTGTATTTTATTCTACGCGGACGAAGTCGCAAGCTAGAGCTAATATCTCATATTTAATCATATATTTTCATGTATGTAATCGTTTGATACATTATGCAATGCATGTTTTAATTTATCTTTGTTCTTTCATTTGTCAACATAAATTGTTTGTAAGGTAATTTTTATTAGCATGGTGTTCTAATTAATTATTTAGGAGCAGTGCACAAAGAAGCCAAAATGTGCGAGTCCGGCCACCGTTAAAATGAGAACGACGTAATATTAAGTTGCGAGATGTAATAACAGAGAAACGGGTCGGAACAAGTCCCCGGGCGGCGACCCTAATGCCGTGTTTGTTTCTCATCTAATTAAGAAGGCCTTTCGTTTTCTTAGAATGTTTTCATTCGAAATGACCACGGGGGCGCTCGAGATATCCCGTGTTTAAGATTACGAGATCATCATGCTACTATAATCTTTATTATTACTATATTTCTTATTCATATCAGAATTTAAAATGAATGAACAGATAATCATAAATAATTGGAAGCGTGTACGTATACATTGTAAAGTTACTGGCAGGTGACATATTCTTTCGATATTTTTTATAATTTTAAGAAATAACTGAACATTATTTGAACAATAATCGAACACTAGAGATTGGAGTAACGAAAATATGTTGACAAGAAATATATAGGCCAGGGTTCCTTCGTCTCCTCTGAACGGTATTGTTTGGGAGTCGTTATTGCCCACAGACATGAATACTTTACGACGACCTCACCAACTTTTGTGAGAAAGTTTTCACGTCTATAATAATAAAAAACGTCGAAGGCACAAACAAGAAATTGGGTCAGCTTACCTCATCGACATATTGTCCATATGAAATCAGATTTTATTTGGACCCGCATCAACAAGTTAGGTTGGAAGAATCTTTTGAGAACGAATCAATTATTAAATTTATCACTCGTCTCAGATATTTGTGGACAAATAAAGTGAATTATCACTTTATATTTAAAAGAATTATCTTTTGATGCTGGTATTATTAATAATGACATACTTAGAAATAAAATTAGGTAATCTAAATCAATCCCTTTGCAGATAAGTGTTTTTTTAACCGGGAAAATCAAAACTGAATTTCATTAGTTAATATTATGCTTTTTAATTACTATTAAATAGTGTTATCTTACTTCTTACTGATATTATAAATGTGAAAGTTTAGATGGATGGATGGATGTTTGTTAGAGTTTGTAGCCTAAACGGCTGAACGGATTTCGATAAAATTTGGTATAGATGTGGAGTATAGTCTGGAAGAACACATAGGCTACTCACTTTTTTTTTTTAATTCCGGACGGAGTTGCTGGCGAAAGCTATTTAAATAAAGATTTATAAATAGTTTACATTAAACACGATGCAGTAATTTTGTATCAATTGGAGCAAAATTCGTTTCATCGCTCGCTACAGTTGGGGTTGGTAGGAAATGAACCAATACATCTTGTAGGGGAAGCCAGATAAGGACGAAATTATGCAAATTGAATTCACACAGTAACGATGCAAATAAAAATAAATTTAAAGAAAAATGTAATGATTTCATATATCACGGCGAACAAAATTTAACTATGTTTTTTTAACTACGTTTGCATTGTAATGTATCACAATTTAACAGCAAAAAATTCAACTTTGTCACATTTGAAGTAATATTTAAACAATTTTCAATGGCCTTACATTTTAATGGGCATGTTAAAATAATGTCTTCCTTACTGGACCGCTAACTTATCTGTGAAAACGGGTCTATGTATGGAAGGGAATATGGTTTTATAGCTCATAAAGTTGTAAAGACGGGACGTATAAATGTTCGGCTTAATCTGAAACGGTTTTGGATCGTCAGAATGTTAAATTTATAAGCCATCAAAAGTTTCAATGTTCGTTATTAGTTACGGATTTATTGGATTTAGTTTTCATAGTAACCCCCGAGAGTTAAGTAAAACCTTTTTGTATTTTAATACGACTGATAATTTTAGTAATACTTCCATTTGTTTGTTAAAACAAATATTTTTGACACATAATAATCAAACTTAGGATCTTTAGTCGTTTCAAAGGACCATTTACTTCACCAAAAACTTACATCTAATACTTGATAAAGTATACGTTGTTGTTAAGATGTAGGATTGATTTAGGTGAGATAGAACAAATCTTCGACGAAGGTAGGATAAAGAGGCCCCGGCCCTCTTTATCCGGGCCGGGTAAACTTTTATATCCGGCGAGCATTTTATTTGTAAGCTTCGCGCGGCCGCACTGATCCGGCGACGGGGGCCTCACGCACGGACCCATCTCTATCTCTTCATATATAAAACTGTTTGTCGTTGTTATCATGTTGATTGGTTATACGTACTAGTTGAGCTCCGCGGTTTCATCCGTTGAACCTTAAGTATCTATAACCTTCTCTGATATTTTATAAAAACTCTACTAACCAGCCTTTAACAAACACGTTATTTAGGGAACACGACCAAAACAATATTTCATGTGAAAAGTTTTTTGATAAATGTTTTTCAAATTTTTAATATTTTGTTAGTGGTTTTTATTGAAATATACCAAACTAAATAAAACTGATCATTTAGTATATCGTAACATTTGCACTAAGATTGCTTACTAATACAATTGAATAATTCACAGCCTGTGGCGAGAAATGGCTGATGCCTGGGAACAATTGACGGCAGATCGAAGACGCCTCGAGGGCATTGACGTAGCTTTCAAGTAAAATGGTCACGTGGAATACGAAATCCGAACCAATTCATGTTCATTGATTGGTTAACTTTAGTTAATCGTAAAATGAATAACTTAGTAATGTTCTGATTCATTAATTAATACGAAATGAATGAAAAGGCAGAGGGAAACAGCCTGATTGCCTGATGAATTCATTTGAAAGCATGCAAGGTTAAATCCACAAAGTTCTTATAAAATTATGAATATTACGATTAAACAAAACAACATGTTATGTGTTAGTGTTATTAGTAGAATTAAAAAGCATAGTAAAATCACGTGTTTTAAATTATTATGAAATATTACAAGTCAGCTGTCTTGAAATCCACCAACGGCAGTATGCTCTTCACATTATAATATAAAAATATAAGATTTATCATTGCAGTTGTGTACTGCTCATTTCCTTGGTTGTGGGAGTTATTTCTCATTTGTTTTATTGTTTAGATTTACCCCCGAATGCGGAAGCCTCCCTTGCCCTACCATTTGTCACCCGCGCCGCAGCTTTTGTTCTCTCATTTCAAAGATATTTGTCATTTTAGAAATAGAAAGCGCTTCATTATTTGCCACTGTTTTGTCAGGATTCTGTAACTCGGTCTTTGTTAGATATCGCGGATGCTTTCAGTATTTATTTTGACGATACACTTGTACTAAGATTAACCGAAATCGATAACATCCTTCTTGAACACAGATCCTGAAAAAACTGATACAATTTCAAATAGACAACAATAAATACCCTAACTGAGCTATAGTTAGTTGGTCCCGCGGTTTGCATTTACATTGCCCTGATTCATTTTATTCCCATCAGTTTCTTTTTAAGAAATTAGAGAGTTTATTGATAAAAACAAGAGACGTTCTTATTAATAAGTGAATAATATTCGGAAATACGATGAAGGCAAATAAATTTGAGGTTATAGTTATAAATCTTTAGTAGAATAGAGCATTGTTCCTCTTGTTGCGTGCGTGCGTTTGCCTAG